TTAGATATATCACTTACATACAATGCCAGTCACATTAGAGACAGAAACAGGCTGGAACAAAGTCTCAAGATGCCAAACACTCACACAGACTATAGGACCGTAGTAACTCGCAACGTGGTCATTATTAGTAATTATTACCTTAGTAGGCGTGATTTCAATAAATAAAATTTTAGAAAATTAGTTTTTAGTAAAAAGCTGCGTTTATTCAAACTATCTGTGCAAGAAAATTATAAGTCAGGTAGCAAAGAAATTGTAAGCAAGAGCTTGTTTCAATTCAAAGGTTTGTCTCATAATGTGATCTGTCTCATTACTCACGCATATACTCTATATCTAAATTTTAAACAATTTTTGACAAATTGCGCACTTATTTTGTGAAAGTACAACATTTTTACTGCCCAATCATGCAAAAAAGATAAAGAAATTCAAAACTTTGTTCGGTACTTTAGTCTTCTAAAGGTGAAATAATTTTAGTTGTCTCAGTGATAACGGGTGCAGCAACAAGAGTGAACAAGTGCTTTTCTCTTCTCACGGGAATAATAAAGTAAAACTAAGAGTGCTTAACAGCTATACAAGCAAATCACGTCTCTAGATCCTTTTAAAGTAATAACAAGAAGGCCTTTTGTTAGTGGATGAGTCTTCTTGCGCCACTCCTGCCACTTTAACAATAGAATATGAAAAAACTACCATAACCAATTGCATTAAGTAGCATTCAAGAAGCTCCAAGTATCTAGTGAGGTCCCATCCATGAACCAGAAAGACGTTAGCAGGCTTTGTAGTGAAGCGTCCTATCAATCCACCATTGCTGAGCTGCCGTTGCTATGGTAATTCCAATGAATATCATTAAATCAATGCGACCGGAAGTCCCATTGCAATAGCTGGACATGTCCTACTCAAACTGAGTAAAGACTTAGATAACTGGGATTTTGTTGGGTTGTACTTGGAAATCAAAGAATCTGACATCAAGGCCATTAGACGTGATAATAACTCTGAAGAAAGGAGAAGAGTGGCACTTTTACGCAAATGGAAGCAGAAGAACGGGGATAATGCCACATATGAAAATCTTGTATCTGGTTTATGTGATGCTGAAAGAATTGATATTGCCGACCAAGCACTAGACTATTTGAAGGAAAGTGAGTATTTATGGTTTGTGAGGTATACTATAAACTGAATCATATTTTGTCAGATATAATTGAGATAAGAAGGCAGCAGAAGACAGCATGGCAAGAAGAGGAAGAGCAACAAAGAGAAGAAAGGCGGCAGCAGGAGATACAACTAGAATATGAAATGAAAGAAAGTATGTATTAAATTAGCCTGGTAACACCCCTTCTCGCCTTCTGCAATGAGAGAACGGGGAAGGGTCCGGTGACACTGCTACAGAAATTGTGGCACTGTGTTTCATTTTGGGCACACCTGCACTCACATGAAAGTAACTTAGTAACATGACCTATTCAAGTATGACTGGCAAGCTATTATAGTAAAGAATCTGCTGCACATTGCACCAAATCTGTTTTATGATATGCTTGGTAAGACCCATTCTTTCTTTTGACCAACTTTTGTAGCTTGAAAGAGTTCCAGACCAGTAAAACAAGCTCTTCTATAGTTTACGCCATTCTTTCTCCAGTGAATTTTGCTGTTTAAAATGGTGGTCAAATATTGCACGTAGATGGATGCCGTATCTTAAAATAATGATTTTCATGCGCTTCTTTATTCACAGATCTAGATGTTTATAAATACAATGACTGCTGGCAAAGAAACATAAACTAACTGTATAGAGTAAGTAACAGAAGAATAAGAAGAATTCTCATGTGAAGCTTGGTTAAAAAGTATGTAGATACCTGTTTTTCATCCCACAAATGATGTCCTTGAATATAACTAGATCTTTGATAGATTCCTTCTTGCCTTTTACTATTGTAGCTGCCTATAGCAACAATTATTTGATGCAGGAATGCTTAAGCCATACAAGTGTCCCATATAAGAATCTTATTAGGATCTTTATGCTCCTCTAAAATGGGTTTTAATTTAATGAAAAACCTTTAAGAAAGGGACTGAAAATATTGTAAAATGAGGTTTAGATTTTAAAATTGGTGTTTTATGCCAGAAAAATGCAAACTTTCGAAAAACTTTGCCTGTGGTGATCAGAATCAGACCAAATTTACAATAGAGCCTCTTTACATGATTATAATACAGTGACATAGAGATATTTCAATTAAACAGGGCTAATATAGGAAAATGTGGTGTTGAGCAATACGAAAATCAAAATAAGCGGCACTACAAGTAGAAAAGGAGAAATATCTCTATGTTAATCAATTTGTTTAGTTAAAAACTGCCTTCACCTAGAAATCTGGTCATTCAAATTGAAAGTAAGAGGAGTTTTTTGGTTTTGAAAATTCTTCAGTATTTTAGCTATTATGAGTTAAAGGCTCAAGTTAGCTTACTAACTAATTTAGTTACTGTCTTTTAACTAGTACTGGTTTCATTATGACTGGTAAAGTACTTTGGGAAAAACAGCTTCCTTAGCAACAGATTAAAAAATTTGCGTGGGCAGTAGTGCAGCACCCTTAAGGAGCTTCAAAAAGATTATCATGTGACAGTCATGGGATTATAGTACTTATAACTAAAATAACTACTAATTATTGCATTCCTTTCTGCAACAAATTTTTGTACATAAATATTAGAGACTACGTAACCTTACCAGGATAGGAAACTAGGATTCCTCCGGTGGACAATGTCCGTGATTGGATTGGACATTAAATAGAATAAATTTGACCATGTGGCTTGCTTTTCATGCTGAATTGATGAATTTTTGGTTTTTAAGCAGTATTATAGTCAAATCCCTGCATGAATTTAAATGCTAACCCCCCCATTTCCTTGCACATAACATCGATCTATTTTCACCCAAAAGGAGAAACCTCTGCTTGTTGTGTATAAGCTATAACTGGTACAACAGTGGACTGCTCACAATGATAGTATTTTACATATTACTCCTCTAATATAGCAAATCAGTAACTGAAACTATGACAGTTCCATGCACAATGATTATGGCAACATTTTCAATGATCTCGTTAGTCCATTTTGCCTGTGTGATGGAGCAACAGGCACCCCCAAACATTGAAGTATTGAAAATTTGAAATATTATTAAAATAACAAGAAATCAACATTGGTTTGAATACAATCTTCCTTTGAATGTCGTTGATGAGTAGCCATTTTTTGACTCACCAAAATGTAATGACGGTCATTGGCTGGGTGGTTGATACTGGTTTGAATGGATCATGTGAGCCAGTTTTCTATCCCGGTTACGTAGTTTCTAATATCTATGACATAATGAATGGTCAGTTAAAATTCCAGTTTTGGTGAATGACTATCAAAATGCCAATTTGCCAAATTTTCCCTCCAAAATTGCAGTATAACCTATCCAGAATATCTGCTTATCTTACCACTGCATCAGTGAAATGACCTTTTTCTCCTAATACAGCCTAGGCAAAATTGAGAAGATGTAATAATACCATGCTAGTTTCCATTTTTAATACTGAAATACTCAAACCAAACATTGTAATGTCATTTTTGACCAGAGCTCTTAAGGCCCCCATACACTAGGCAACATGTTGCTTGCAACATCTGTAGTTACTTTGATCTTGTAAGCAACATGTTGCCAGAAATAGAAGGCTGTTCTATTTCTGGTAACATGTTGCTTACAAGATCAAAGTAACCACAAATGTTGCAAGCAACATGCTGCCTAGTGTATGGTGGGCTTTATAGCACAAGATCATTTCAAAACTAATAAAGTGGGCCAGTGCCATTCCCACAATGATTAATTTATTCATGAGAGTTTATTCCAAATAAAAAGTGAATATGAGTCATCAAAGCATCATCATAATGAAGAAAACCATGCCTACTTTTGGGATTAATCAGTCCTAATGCAAAAGCTAGATTTAGCCAGAGAAGCTCAAATATCTGTAAGGATGTGTTTATCCTAGTTTCCATTTATTGCCGGCAATTTACAGTCATAATCCACCTTTTTAGATTAGCCTAGGCTTTTTTGAAAGGAAAGCTAACTAATCTTAACCGCTGGTCTTTTTTTAAACAGATTATGGCATCCAACAGTTATTAACTGTCAGTTTAGGTACTAGATTTACTTTCTATCCCACAGGTAAGCATGATTATTGAAGAAGTATTGAAAAATATACCTAGATAGATTAGAATGGGTCTTGCTCATGTTTGCCCCAAGAATAATCTGTACCAAATATTATTGTAAATCAATTGATATTGATGCATGTAAATCTAATGCATGTGATGTATACTGGATGTGCAGCAGCTGTGCAATGGTTTCATGACCCATCATATGGGCACATTTCAAGTGAAACTTTATACATATTTTTGTCAATTTTCATTGCAAGATTTTCATGTCTTACAAATTGTCACAAATTCACCACTTTAGAGGGAACTGTGAAGGTAGAATCCCAAGCATCAGAAGCAGAGGCAAAACAAGTTACAGAAGAGGCAAAACAAGTTATAGAAGAGGCAAAACAAGTTACAGAAGAGGCTTATAAAAAACAATGGGATGAATATTACATGAGAATAGCATGTTTGGCTGCTTTAAAAAGTAAAATAAGTACACCAGTAAGTGCAATATTGAACATACAGCATTATAATATAATATCATGCAGGTTGGTGCTTGTATTGTTGATAATAAATCTAGAATAGTTGGATTCGGATATAACTCAATTCCTTTAGTTGAAGGAGAAGATAGTGACGAAGCACATAAAAAAAACAAGAAAGGAAATGAATTTAGTAATTTAGCACAAATACAATAATATGATTATTATTTTTTGTAGTTGGTGCAGCTGTAAATGCTATTATATATAAGACCAGAGAACTTGATGGCTGTACAATATACTTAACATCATACCCTGATGAAAAATCTGCTCATGCAATACTAGTAGCTAGAATAAAAGAAGTTGTTTACTGTATGTACACAAGAAAAGAGGGAAGAGAAAAAGAACTAGATATGGAAAAAATAGGAAAAATTTTCAAAGCCAATAATATTGAAACAAGGTAAATTATTATAAACAAACGATTATTATTAAAAAGCATTATATGAACCTTCTTTGGCTTGATATACTTTAGCTACTCCAAAAAAGTATAGTTTAGTTACTGCTATAGTTAATTAACCATTTTAAAGGTTATGTAACCATTATGTGGGCGTAGTCATGTTATCAATATTTTCCTTTGGTTTTCTTCGATATTCCATACTGCATATTGATTAAATATTGTGAACTTTGATATTGCACTATTTTACACTTTACAAGAAGAGGTATTTGAGATGGCATATATGGGATACATATCTGAAGGCTTGATGAGGAAAGGATTTAAGCTAGGCTTAGAATGCTTATGCTGTGACCGGAAGTACTGTATAACACAATGGTGAAATGCAAAAATAGAACTTGTTCTATTTTTTGCATTTACCCATTAAATTATACAGCACTTTCACTAGCAGCGCAAGAATTCTGAACCCAGCTTTAGAGAGGGGCTTCATTCATGCTTGCCTTAATTAAATTAAATATTATCGCTATTTGCAATATTAGTGTCAATGTCATAGTCATTAACTGTGATACATTTTGTGAACATGTAGAGAGATGACTATGTCAAATGAAGAGGGAGTAGCAAAAATACTTCACAATAGAATAAAAGAATCAAAGGCATTGGAGCAAGTTGAAAGACCGGAGCAACTTGATGCCAGTAGTGGGCCCCATGGTACCATAACATGGGAAGAATTCTTCATGGGAATCGCAATACTGTCAACTAGAACACCAAGGCCACATGATAGAAACCCAAAACTAGCAGTGAGATTTTAAACAATACATGTATTTTGTACAAACACATAATTGGCCTCACCCAGCTTTGCGTAGGCGAGGACTAGGTACTCAGTTTGTCTGTCTGTCATTCATTCATTCTGTGTGCTATATTTTGTCTTTGAGAATGTATATCTTTACAATCGCATGCTCTAAATCTGTGAGAGCTTCTCTTCTGTTAGGAAAAGTCTTGCTTTACTGCCTCGAGATGTTTAGAGAGCAGCTCTAGGTAGTACAAGCTTTTTAGCTCATGAGAAAATGCCCAGCAGTAGCGGTAGTACTCTGGAGGTAAATGAGACTCTTTCCTAGTAGATCAAGACTAGTTATTCATTTAATATGTGTGGGACTCTTTCTATGACTTTCTTGTTGGTGAGTTATAACTACTCAAATTTCATCCCGAGTGAAGTGCTGTAGCAGCAGTTCGTTAGTCTATGGCTAGTCTAAGGATTCTAAACTCTCTTAAGTCACTCAATCTATCTAGGCAACAGTATTTGTGCCTAATTGCGCTTAGAAGAAGAGAAAAACCTGAAGCCATAATTATTTATAAAAATTAATGCCACGCCTCCAAGCAGGACCAAGCAAGCTACACAGCCAATAATTATCATGCTAATACAGTAGTTACTAGTAGTACTGCCCGAGTTAATGAATCAGGTCTGATTACTGAAGTGATACAGTCCTGATAGCCTATCAGGACTGTATCACTT